CAAAGGAAGGAGCTGATAGGATCTTGAGTGCTGAAAATGAGCAGGCTTCCTCCCATCTCCAAAACGACCACAGAAAATTAGACAGGATCGTTGTACTGTGTTTAAAAACACATTACATCGGTCCGGTCTCTCTTGCTGGCAGACAGTCAGATCATTAAGATGCTGCGATTCCCCCCAAATGTTCTCCTCCCCGTCAAACTACACTCTTGGAGCTCCCCAAGTTCATTGTAGCTAACTAGCAAAAAACAATAGAGATTTCGATTTGGGGCTACAAATAGACCCCAGATGATGCTCACAATTAGGGTGCTGCAAGGAGGGTTCCCCTCTTTTCCTGTTTCCAAGCCCCAGCTCTCCCATCTGCTGCTGGGCCCCACAGCCCCGGCAGCCCTAATTAAGCCCCTGGTCCCCTCCCCCAGGTTTAGCTCGGTCTCATTTCACATTCTGCTGTGAGCATTTCCCTTCATAAAAGTCTTTGAAGCCATTTTCAATGGCTGCATTATAGTCCACTGTATGGCAGTGGCTTAATGTGTAGCCATTCCCACACCATAGAACATCTGAGCTTGTCTTTCAGCCAAATCAGGATGAGATGGAGCTGCCGCTGGGACAGCCCTGCAGCCTCGGTGCTACTGGCCTTGCTGGAGAGGAAGTGCTCGGCACTTCAGACAGGGAAGTACAGCCAGACTCTCAGCCCCTCAGCATCCAGGACAGGAGAGGGGAAGCCATTCTTGCACACAGGTCATTGGTCCCTGGGTCAGCTGAGTCTCCAACTGACCTCACAACCTCCTGACATCAACACCAGAGGCAGAATTTGCTTCCTCATCCTCACCAAATAGTCGGATGAGACAACTGTTCTCTAGGACTCAGACTCATGGGGAACGTGGGCCGAGCCTGGGCATTGCTGAGCCAACATGTTCAAGCAGTGGCTCTTGACGGGGCACGAAGAGACAATTTTGTCCTGCAGGGGGCATGCGGCCTTGACTGGGGACTGTTTGGGTTGTCACAACTGAGTGGGGAGGGGCCGTTGGCATATTCTGAGTAAAGAGTAGCAATGCTGCTAAATACCCTGCAATGCACAGACAGATGCTAAAACGAAGGTGACCTGACCTGAAGTGTCAATCGTTGCAAGGCTGACGAGTAAAGGCAGAGTCCCTGCAAAACCCTGGCCAGGAAACTTCAGAGCTTGGAGCTGCCCAATGAGGAGGCGGGGCAGGGGGTGTGGGGGAGTCTGCTCCAGAAGTCCTGAGTCCAAGTGACACCAACACCCATGAGGGAGAAGGGACAGACAGCTTGGGAACCAAAGGCTCACTCTGCTGGGTGAGTTTTCCTTGATGAGTAACCTCTGGGCCTCGTCCTCACCCTACCTAGAATCCCTAACTCCAGAGCCAGCCCACAGGCCATCTTCCATCTCAGCTTTGCCACGGCATCTCCCGAGGTGTCTCTGAGGAGGGCTGCCTCCCAAAGGGATCCACAGAGGATGCCTCCACCCCCCTCCAGAGCCCCGCCTACGGCTGGGCTGTGAAGTGCCACGCTGGGCACAGCATCCTCTCCCTGCTCCACCACAGTGCTCCCTCTTATGCACCAAAAACATCTGGGCTTTGAGGCAGGCATCCAGGGCCCCTTGCAATTTGCCTCCACCCACCTTCCACTTCACATCCTCTGGCTGCCCCCTTCCACAAGTGTGGATGAGAGGCCACTGGGTCAGTCCCGCAGCCTTGGTGCCACTGGCCTCCGAGTTTCCCTCGCCCCCATCAGCGCTGACCTCACTTTGCCTCGTCCTATCTCAGCCCTTCCCCAAGGCTGAGCTCTACCTCATGAGTGGTTCTCCTCCTCCCCTGAGCTCTGATGACACCCCCCTTTTCCTCCCCCAGTTTGGCCACGTCTCACTAAATGTGTCCTGCCAGGACCTGCTTTCCATATGAACGCTGGAAATGACGACTGTTCCCCGCAGCTGCAAACTTCTGAGCGTGTAAACAATGGCCCCGGAGGAAACCCCCACCCTCCCCGGCCCATCCGACCACGCAGGGAGGCCAGGAAGAGAAACAAGGATTTCACCTCGAAAACCCGGGTGCCCTCTCCGCCCTGTGCTGACCTGAACAGTTCCCACCAGCACCAGCCAGAGCCTAGCCTGTGAGGAGGGGAGACAGACACACAAGGTGCTCACGTGAAAAATGGGATAGGGATTGGGAGCCTGCAGGTACTTTGGGCACAAGCTCCAGTGCCAAACTGCAGCAGCATGGATTTGTGCCAGCAGATGCGAAGAAAGGCTTAAAACAGAAGTTGGAGAGTGTGAAATCTTCAAGGTGTGGGCCTGAGATCACAGGGCGGAAACTTCTGGGCCCTTGTGGGCCGCCCCAGAGGAGGTGCCCCCGGAATCCTGGGGTATCTACCTCAGAGGCTGCTCTGAAGTCATTGTCCCTAAAAGAAAAGCCACGGGGTGCCTGGTTTCCCTCTCACACGGCGCTGGTGGGGGTGTGAAGTTCACATAACCTCAGCCAAGGGCACCATGGCCAAGTCTGGCTACGTGAATAGGACAGGTGGCCTAGCACCCAGCACCTCCTTGGAATTCTGTCTCCCAGATCCCCCGCAACAAAACGCCCCGCCCACAAGGAGAGTCCCCACAGCAGCCTTATTTGTAAAAGCAAAGGACTGGAAACAAGCTAAATGTGTAACAGCAGGAGGCTGGTTAAATAAATTATAGGACATCCTGTCAGGGAGGAAGAGGCAGGGGAAGCAGGCTCCTTGCCAATAGAAAGCGATCGTTGCCAGTCCCACGTGGGGTGGCTGTGAGGGGCTTGTTATCACCTGTGGGTTTGTAAAGGAATCACCTCTTAGAAAGAAACGGCTGCTGGAAGAGACAGAGACGTTCTCTGACTGTGGACACAGGAAGCCAGGACCATGGCTGCCTCCGAGGAAGGACAGACGCTGGGTGGTGAGATACCGGGTAAGAGACTCTCCTGGCAAGGCACTTTGGTGTCTTTTCATTATGTGAGCACATCACCTACTGAAAATCACGTAAAACACCGAGGACACACAGCGGTGATGTCTGTTTCCTGTCACGTCTCTTCTGCCCTGTTGCCTCCTTTCTGCATTCACCCCACTGGGGGCTCTCCCCCCAATGTCACACAAAGGGAGTCAAGTTCATGGCCAAGACCATCAGCACACACAACAAAAGCACAGGGGGTGGCGGGAGGGTGGGCTGTAACGCCAGTGGCTCCCTGCCTGTGTGCAGACCTGCCTGTGTGCAGACCTGCCTGAGTGCAGACCTGCTCTTGGCTTTGCTGCAGCAGCTGGGATCAGAGTACCTCCCTCAGGAAGTGCCGGGAGGGTGAGGCAGATAGATCATGGGTGGAGAGGTCCCCTGCACAGCACCCAGCACACAGGACACTGCCCTTCGGAGGCTGCCCTCCACCCGGTCTGGCCCGGCTCAGCTCCCCTGATTCCAGTGGAGGCTCCTCGGGGACCGGCTGGGGCCTGCAGGTGTGCAGGCGGCCCTGGAGTGCGGCTTGCTTCCTTGTGAGCATACAAGCAGATGTCCTTGCTGCCTCTGCCCCCGTCCCTGCTCCCACGAGGGGGAGGGGGGAAGTTGAGATGCCCAGGCCAGATGTTTGCAAATCAACAAACTGCTCTTGGCGGGCTGCCTGTGTCTCCTGATTCCCTGAGGCCCTGAAAGCTTCCTCAAAGGAAGCTTTCGAAAATGCTGGACGTGCAGGAGCTTCTTCAAATGCGTGCGTAAGAGGGAAGCGCACATGCAAGGCTTTTACTCCACCAGCCTCCAAGGGGAGCATCGCGAGAGCGGGGAGGGCACGCAGCAGAGGGAGGACAGCTCCCAGGCAGCACAGGGCACCCTGGGGGGGGGGGGGCTCCTCCATGTCCAACCACAACTGCCTTCGAGGAGGCCCACTTCCTGCACCCTCAAACCGCCAGCAGGCCATGGAGCTACACAGCTCAAATCCTGGCTCCCCCCACCTCCCATCCCTCCCTCTTACTGGCTATGTGACCTCGGAAAGAATGCTCAGGCTCTCCCTGCTTCAGTTTCCTCACCGGCAAAATGCATAATCATAACAACTATCCCACAGGCTTGCTACAGGATTAAATTGGTTAACACATCTGGGCTTGGAACAGTAAGTAGCTGGCATGAAATAAACAAGCAATGCATGTTAGTTACTGTTGATAATTACCACCACCACCATCATTATCATCATCACAATCATCATCATCGCCAAGGCCCCTCTCTCTTAGCCCCATTGTGTTGCACTGCCAGGTATCATGGTCTCATCAAGACTATTGAACCCACACACAGAGGAGCAGCCCCAAACCCCAGCCTGCGGCCACCGAGGACCATTTCTAGGGTCTGCAGCATCCAGACCAATTTGGAGATTGCTGGACTCCAGCCCCGGATCTCAGTGCTCTTCGGACAGCTTGCTGGTTCCACCAGCCTCGCTTCACAATGCCCTCCCCCTGTCCCTACATCCCCGGTCTTGCCTTCTGCAAATCCTACCTGGCCTTGGCCAACATCCCCTCCCTAGAGCAAGCCTTGGTGCCCAGTCCAGCTCAGCCCCCGCACAGTCACACCCCACTCCTCAGCCCAGGAACTCCAGCCCAAAGGTGCCCGTGGGACTCCAGTCCCTGAAGTCAAGTTCATGGCCAAGACCATCGGCACCATCGGCACACACAACAAAAAAACCATGTGTTCTCTCCAGGTCCTGACCCAGCATCTTTGTGCTTCCAAACCCAGTCATTTTACCACCTGACACTTGTGCCAAGAGCTTATGTCGGGAAAGGCATGATCATCATTTCAGCTTCTACAACCTTCACTGACAATTCCCCTCCCAACTTGGAATCACCGGCCCTGGCAACACACTCCCTGCGGGCGCCCTCAGGGATGTCTGCCACGTGGCCTGCCGCTCGGGGCAGACGGCTGTCTGCAGCCCAGCACCGCGCCTGCCCCCTCTCTGAGGCCGTCGCATATGCCGATGTGGTAGAGTTATAATTGGTCTTACTTTCTTGGAACAAAATCCCGAACATGTCTCCACTGTCATGTTGGTCTGCGTCAGGGAGTCGGGGAAGGCGTGCGTGATGTTCTCCGGCAGCCTGAAGCACCCGCGGTACGTGACCGACCTCCCTGCGGGGGAAACAGGATTTCGGTGAGAAACGGTGCTCCCGGCAGTTGGCGCCTGTTACCACGGAAGCTGGTGGGTTCTCCGTCTCAGCATCTGAAGGGGCATCCTCAGGAGGGCAGGTCTCACATCAGAGAAGGCAAACAGCCCTACATGGGGGGTGGCCAAGTCCAGATTCTGGGGGGAGCCAGACACCAGGACCTTGGTCACCCAGGATCAGCGACAAGGGGCTGCCTGTCTGCCTTCAGGTCTCACTGCCACCAGCTCTCGGGGGACAGTGTCCATTCACCTTTCCTTTCTTTCTTCTCCTGCTTCTTTCCCCCCTCCCTCCCTCCACAAAATCCAGACGGTATCTCCATCCTGAGCCAGATTCGGCACTAGGGAACCTGCCAGGCAGATGTTCTGGAAAAGCGCATGGTTTCCCCAGGAATGTGCGAAAAGAGAAGCAAGCCTGGAAACCGGCACCCTGCCAGGTCCTGTCACTGCGCCACCGAGTGACCCACCGCCATGCTTCCTCCCTGACCGTGGGCTCCCACCACCCTCCGGGACTACTCCTTACGCCCGTCCCAGGCAGCCTCGGGCCACAGTGTTCCTCAGGCCTTCTGGTGGAAAACTGCAGCTCCCCAGTTGGCTTCCTTGGTGCAGATCAAACCTTCTGGAATGTTCCAGCATCCACTGCTCATATTTCTTCCAGACTCATCAGAGTTTCTCTAGATGGCACCCCGATACCCATCCCTGATCTCCTGGGGCTCAGCATCTCTCCCTGCTCCCCGTCTGCCCAGCACCTGACCAGCAGCAGACACCCCCCTCCCCAGGCAGCCCCGCGGCCAGAGGGCTCTCCAAGCAGGACTGCAAAGCAGGATGGAGCCCTGGTCTGGAAGCCCATTGGTCAGCCATGTCTCCAGTGGTCTGCACATCAGGACACCCACCTAGTTGGGCACAAATGAGGGGGGCAGCTGGTGCCGGGGAGAACCGTCCAGGCTGAGCATCTGCCTGGCCTGAGGTCAAGTCCTGGCACTGCTGATGACGCGCTCTGAAGCGTGGGTGTATCGTGTGGACTCAAGACCCTCTGATTCCTCACCAACACAATGCCCGGTAATTAAGAGTTGTTTTGAGGGGCAATGTGCACCCACAAGCCAGTCAGTCCCTCATGTGGCTGCCCTGGCCTTGGTGTAAGGACCTGGGGTGATGGCTTGTGCTGGGCTCACAGAACTCCTTCCTGTCCTGTGGCACCACTGAACTCCAAAAGGACAAAAGAGCTAGATGGGCTGGACTGTGGTCCTCAGCCAGCTGCTCTGGGGTGGGTCAGACACCGGGGAGACAGGCTCCGGGGCACATGACAAGGAGGGTGAACAGCACAGGCAGGGCACAGGGGTTATGGGCATCCTGGCCAGTCCCAGGCTGCAGGAAGGCATAAACCAGAGTCCCAGGGGCGGCTGCATGTGGGTCACCCTGTGCCCAACCACACCCAGCCCTACCTGACACAGCAGGTGCCCAGTGAGCACGGAATGGATGAATGAACTGAACAACAGGGCACGTGAGGGCGCAGTATACACTGCAATGCCAGCGCTGCTGGGGTGGCAGCATCAGCTGCCTCTGGGCATCACTGAGTGACTGTCTTTCGGGAAGAGGCTGTCATCCGGTGCAGTCTATCCACACCTGCCCCCTCACTTCCCAGGTGCCAGCCCCAGGGCCACTTTGGGCAGGGCACCTCTGAGATAAACTGCTCTGTTCCTGCCTCTAATCCCAACCCGGGGAGCTGACATTTAACACGGTGGCCACCTGGTTGCCTCCAGACAGAGATCCTGTTGACTCACCCCCAGGAGAAGGGAGCAGGCAAAGATCAACTGCATGGGCCCCACAGGCTGCCCGAAGGGGCAGCTTTCACTCTGTTTTCAACATAAACCATGGCATCAGGTGTAGCCCCTCAAGACCTGAGGCTGAGTAACTGGGCCATCTCACCCTTAACCAACAGGCAGCCTGAAGCACATCAGTAATCCCTAAGAGGCAGTGGCTGAGCAGGCGGGAGGAGCTGGAAGGACAGCAGGAGCCCACATATAGGCCTGGTCCTGCTGGGGGGTGGGGGTGGCTTTGAACCCAGGGAAATCAAAGGTTCAAGAAGCCAGTCTGGAACATTCTGGTCCTCAGGAAGCCCATCGGGACGCCCAGGTGACAGAGCCAAAGTTGACAGATCCATGCACCACGGCAACCTTTGTGCCAGGCCCTGTCCTGGCCCAGAGGAGGCATCAATCACGATTTGTTGAGCTACTGGTCTCATTAGTGAATCCACAAAGCATGTGTTGCCAGGGTTACAACCCTGTCCCTGTCCCCCCAGCCGGAGCCCTTGTGCCCGGATGTATCCTCTCTGACTGTAAGCACTTAAGCAGCCTCAGTTGGCGGGGCCTGAGCAGAAGCCACACTCCCCGTCATGCTGGCTCCACAGCCGTCACCATGGCTCTCACAGCTGGGCTTCTGGACTGCGTGGCTAACACTCATTGCTAGGAGAGCTCTCAGGACACCCCTCTGTAGTCCTAGCGCCTGACCTAAGCCCTCTTTCCCTGAGCTCCGTCTGCGCCTGGGCTAATGCATTAGCTGCCCTGGAGCCGTTACCAGGTGCACAGCCAGAGGCACTGTCCAAGAGCCAGTGTGCCCCCATCGCCCACGGTCTCACCCCTGCCAGTGGTGGGGACAGTCTCCCGTGCCCTGACTTCTTCCCAGCCAGGCCCCTCCCGATTATGAAAAGGACGGCCCCTGGCCGTGTTCTCAGCCATCTTCACTGGATAAAGGAGCCTTTTATCGTCAGAGGAAGTGGATCTGGGACTCAGCATCTTGCAATCAGGACAAAACTGAGCTTCAGACACATCTACCGGGGCCCTCGGTATTTAAAAGCACTTTCCATAGACATTCTTGGGGATTCTGTCTGCCTGTCTGGAGCACCAGCTGCCTCTTCTTCCTCCTCCTCCTGGCTGATTATTTCCCTTCCGAGTTCTGTACTTATATAGTGAGCTTACCTTCAGTGAGAGTTTACCTCTGGGAACTCTTTACACCTGGGCTGGTGGCACAGCTCTCGAGAGCTGTTGCATTTGCCTCCGCTGGAGTTTTCAGGACCAGGAAGATGGTATAAATCTGAACCCCAAAACTTGTACGAATGCAGGTTGCCCACAGTTACAAATTCTTAGGGAGAGTTTTCTTTTTTTGTCCCCCGGAGCTCATGTCAAAGAGACAAGTTTTTCCCCATTTCCTTGGACTATATTTCAGAAACCGAACTTTTACTGATTGACACTTCAGTTAGGCAGAGGTCTCCACCCCATTCTCTATCCTGACCAGCTCAGAGTCTCCTTCTCTGTCCGATGTGGACAACAAAACCTCAACCCGGGGCCACCGAGACCAGAGACCGCCCTCTGCAGAGACCAGAGCTGCACAGCCTGTTCCCACTCTCATCGCCACTGTGACCTTGAATCCCTCTGTATTTCCTTCCTTGCTTGCCAGTCGGCTATGCACGTAAAATAGTCTTTGCTCCATTTACTCCTCCATTCCTACGGGCTGGACAGCCAGGAAACTTTCAGAGGACCTGGTCCACCCCAGAGCTAGAAATCCAGGTCTGCCTCTGAACTTTACAAAACAGACTGGAGCCCAGAGAGGGAAAGCGAGCTGCCAGAGGCCACACAGCACGTTTAAGATCCACCTAGGCCTTGGCCCCAGGCCTCTGGATCAGTTTCTCTCTCCCTTCAGGCGATCAAACAAGATGTGCGTCCGTTATGAATGCAAGCAACCTTTGGCACACGCTAGCCCCACACCCCACGGAGACGAACCCATTCAGGGAAGCTGATGAGAAAGGGAGGGCAGAGTTTCTGTTCCGATGATTTGGAGGAGGGGCCGCAGGCGGGGGCATCGGAGAGAGGGGACAGACAGAGCCTCTGGAGGCTGCACACTCACGCTTCCTGGAGCTCGGCTGCAGCTCCTCCACTCGGTACACTGAGAGCCGGCCGACGCCTCCGCACGCCGAGCCCTTCTCCCCCTTGCACTCGTGCTTACACTCCTCGGGCCCGACGCTCTGCACCGGGAGCCGGTTCCCGCAGTAGCACTCTGACCCGGCCTCCAAGCCGGCGTAGATGTAGGACCTGCAGGGAAAGTGGCCTGGGATAAAGCTGCCCTCGGACCAGAGCCCGGCCTGGTGTCCGAAAGCTGGCTCTGGGGCCCGGATGAGGGCTGCTGGGCTTGAAGCTGAGGCTAAGTCTGGATGAGGAAGCCAGGGCCACGGCCACCAGCGTGTGGCTGGCCTCAGAGGCCATCTGCCTGGGTTTAGGGAACAGTCTTTCCTTTGTGTTAAGCTGACTGAGTCGGCCCCACTGGTTCCTCTCCTTAGCCCTCAGCTTTGTCCTCTAAGGTGTTGGCCAGAGTGACAGGTCATGACAGGTCTGCAGCAGTGGTATGCTGGTAACTGGTTCTCGGGTTGGGAGGAAAGGGGCCCAATTGGTGGCATTCGCCAATTTCTATAGCTGAACCCAAGCTGGCGAGGGTTCAGCAACGGGCTGAGAGCATTTCTGAAATGTAACTGTTCGCTCTCGTGAGCCACAAGCTGACTCCAGCTCACTACTGGTCCTTTTAAAGAGCCCTCCACACGTTACAAGCAGACCCCACCACAAGCCTCCCTGGCCTGGAGACCACTCTTACCTGCCTCCACCCAACTGTCATGCTGTCAGTAAAGAAAGAAAGAACGGACCCAATGTGGTACCACACGGGATTTTAACTATGAAAAGGGGTCAACATGTTCAAACTCCTCTTCAGTGGACCTAGGCATAAAAACCCAAATTGAGCCGAAACCAGTTTGGCTCAGTGGATAGAGTGTCAGCCTGCAGACTGAAAGGTCCCAGGTTCGATTCTGGTCAAAGGCATGTACCTTGGTTGCGGGCACATCCCCAGCAGGGGGTGTGCAGAAGGCAGCTGATTGATGTTTCTCTCTCATCGATGTTTCTAACTCTCTATCCCTCTCTCCCTCTCTGTAAAAAACCAATAAAAATATATTTTAGAACACACACACACACACACACACACACAAAAAAAAAAACAAACCCCAACACCAGCTCCTAACCCTTGTTTGGCCCCTGCTGGCCATGTGACCCTGAATATCCCTTACTACCTCTGAGCCCCTATTTCCTGAAATGTTAGGAGAATAGAATGAGATTGTGTCCATCTCAGTTTTAGTACCCTCAACAGGGGCCCTGTCCTTTCCTTCTCTGGCTTCAGTTTCTCCACCTATAAAATGGGCATGATTAGTTGTTACCTAGCAGAAGGTGGTAAGGATTTATGACACAACAAATATGAAAGAACTGAATGGGAATGAAATAAACTAAGAGTACCATCTGCTGATTCTGTTGTAAACACACATGCACACGCACACACATGCATGCACGCAAGCAGAGTGGCCTGTGACAGCCTTGATGGCAGGGACCACTCCCTGGGATATGACTAGTGTCTGGTAACCACTGGGTCAGTTGGCAGCCGCAGAAAGAGTAAATCTTGTTTGAAACACAATAAATGTTCCCAGAGCAAGAAGGGTCCTCATAGAAATCTGGGTTAAAGCCCTTGATTCTCTTTTAAACATACAGGTAAACTGAGGCCGAAGAAAGGCGGAGGGCTCAGAGCTCAGTCACATGGCGAGCAGCAGCACTAGAACCCGGTCCCTGGACACTGAGCCCAGGGCTCTAGCCACAACCCCAGGCACCTCATCAATAAACTCTCCCTCTTCTGGACAGTTGGGCCCCGATCAATCAGGCTCTAATTAGTTCCACCCTGACAGCCACTGGCAGCTGAAGTGTCCCCTCCCTCTGGGGAATGTCTCTTGACCTTATTTCTGGTGGCATCCGGGGTCCGGGCCCCACACTTACCGCTCAGCGCAGGCGTCCTGGCAGTGGGAGACGGTCATTTTTCTCAAGTCAAAAAACACAGTGCCCTTCAGCGTTCTCTCCTGGCCGTCGTCACGGAAGCAGCCAACATAGGTGCCTGCAGGCGGAGAAGCACAGCAGAGACTCAGAGGCCCTGGGGAGGGAGGGGTCCTAAGGACAGCCCACCCTGAGCGAATGCCAAGGTCACTCCCAGCCCTTCCAGGCAAGGGGGTACCTCTCAGAGAAGCCAGGGCATGAGGCTGTGGTCCAACGTCCCCGGAAATGCTTCTGGATGCGTCAACCTGCTCCCTTCTGCCCCTTTTCTTGGTTAATGTCCCACTGGCCCCCAAGACTAAGGTGACCAGACATCCCGCTTTTGGCGGGACAGTCCTGATTTTTGACAATTTGTCCCGCGTCCTGCGGCGTTTTAAAAAACTCCAGATGCTTTCCAAACATCGGGACTTTTTAAAAACCGCCGCGGGACGCGGGACAAATTGTTGAAAATCGGGACTGTACCGCCAAAAGCTGGACATCTGGTCACCTTACCCAAAGACACCCCGCCAGGGCCCTGGGGTCAGTCTGAATACCACCTTCTTCCATCACAACTCAGCAAGTCAAGTACCTCCCCCAGACCACCTCCCTTCCCTGCCCTTTCTGGGCTTGGAGGGGCCTCCCAGCTCCACAAATGTCCCGAGTGGCAGGTTCTGTCACCTCCTTGCCATCCAGAAGAAGGAAATTAATTGTGGAAACTCTGACTTCAGAGAATATAAACAGATCCTGCAGATAGAGCTACTTCAAGAAAAATAGCCGCCGTTCCCAGGTGAGAGCAAGCCCCCATCCCTGGAGGGGCATAAGGAGCCTTTGGCGTGTAAGAGATCTGTCCTCTGCGGGACTCAGCAGGCGCACAGACCCCAAGGCCTGCCAGTCCAGGATCTCTGGCACATCCCTGAGGGAGAACATGGCTCCACAAAGGGGTGGCCGTGCTGATTCAGACAGGCACCCGCCAGGGAAGGCCGCAGCAGCCCTGCCCTGCCACCCTGAGAGGCGGTATCTCCCCCTTCCAGGCAGTGATCCTCTTAGATACCAGCAGCACACATGTGGCCACACCCCGTGTCCATACAGAGGCACATGCTACACCCTCCACTCAGGGCTCCCAGACCTCCAGGCCAGGGAAGCTTCTCTCTGCTTTTCTGCAAAGTCTCAGGACTTCTGAGACCAGAATGGACCTCTGCAGGAAGATTGCACCCAGGTCAGCGAGAATAAATGGCTCTCCTCAGCCTGCCTGCTTAGTGAAAGAAAACGAATATTTCAGAAATTCCTCATGTGGTGCTCAGCGAAGAAGAAATTCTATTACAGCTTTCAACCTCGCATCCAAAACACAAGCTCGGGGTGTTAAACATTTGTCCCTATGGGTGAGAAAAACCTGAAGGTTGTAAAGATGTCCTGGCTCAGTACCCCTGGAGGCTGAGAATGGCATGCACGTATTTCCAGGGGAGCAGGGAACAGCTTTTGGGGGAATGGGCTGACTTAGGTTTAGCTTCCTTTTACTGAGCCTCAGCTTACCCATCTGTGAAATGGGGCTACGGGCCCATGGAATTCATGGAGGCGCCAATAAGAATTCCACAGCACATGGGAAGCGTCTAATGCAAGGCGTGGCATGTGGTACAGTATCCGCTGTCATGGTTGTTTTTTATTGTTAATATATCACTATTAATATAAACGTTGAAAAATTACTCTACTTCCCCGAAACTCAAATTCTTCATCGTTAAAATGGTGGTAGCACCACGTACGTGTCAGGCTGTTCAACATTAAGTGAGATAACAGATGTACACAGAACAGTGCTTGACCATTAACAGATGTTCGAATAAATAACAGCGATTATTATTCCGATCCTTCCCTCTGACCTGGGACCTCGTATGATGATGGATCAGTGAATATCGGCTGATCATTAACACATTCATAAGAGAGAGAAAGAAGTGGTTTCAGGCAGTCAGCCTCGGGTTCTTCGGAAAACAGGGAGCGGCGAACCAGCCGGCAGCTGCCCATGTCGGAACTGACCGGCCCTCGCCTGGCCGTCCCCTCAGTGTGCAGCGTGGGCCTGCGGTGCAGATGGCTCCCCTCGATGTTTACGAGGAGGAGGTGGGCTTTTTCTTCTGGAAAAGTAACGGATGGCCTTTCTAACTCCCTGACAGAGGCAAGAATGCGCAGAAAGAAAGAAAAGGACTTCCGAGGGATACGCTGGGACACATTCCGAGGCGGATTTATTACTTTCGGCTGAAATGGAGGCGATGCATTATTGTCTGCGACTCCACATCTGTTCATTTGCACATCAAAATGGACATGCTGTGAGGCTATTAATGATGGCTTCAGAGATATTGGAATGTCTTTGGAAATTACTATCAATAAAAAACAAACCGGCCATGGAGAAGTTACTATTTTTCCCCTCGTAAACGTACTGACATTTTATTCCATTATGGATGTTGTCCAAGGTATAATGAAATGCTCGGTGATTGATGGAGCCTCCTGCAGCTTCCCAGGCTTGCAAGATCCCTTTTCAGGGGGATGGCAGGCTGCCCGCGCCTCAAAGAGACGCCCTCTTTGTCTGCAGCCCCAGCAGCTGTCCTGAGGGCTGGACGGGGTCTCCTCTCCACCAGTGAGGCCTGCCTGGTTGTGCAGGGCCCCCAGAGGGGAATGAGGGGCTCCCAGAGGGGGTTCATGCCTCTTCCCTCTTCCTCTGAAGATTTCCAGCCATGTGACACCGCCGCCTTACGCAGAGCACAAATCCCATCTGAAATCTTGGAGGATATTAAAATCTCTAATAACCGTTACTGACCATTCAACACTAAAGCTCCTGCTGTACCAGGTGTTAGCTCTTCCCTTGCTGCTGGGTCAGGGGGAGGTTTTGGGGGTCACTGGGGAGGGCAACAGAGTGCCTAGGGCACCCCAGGCATCAGGATAGTCACCTTTTTAATATTTTAAGAACTGATAAAGCCATAGTGGCTGACCTAACCACAGTCCTTCAGCCTTCACTGCAGCCCCTTGTGTCACTTTTTTAAGTCACTGAAGATGACTTAAAAGGGGTATCCACTAGTTCTCTTGAACATATGCACTCAACACCCAGAGCTATAACTAGGTCACCCTGAGCCCTCCCCTCTGCTGGCCAGACACACTGAAGTCAGGTTATAAAGAACTAGTCACTTCTGTCTAATAGGCCCAAAGCCTCCATCATGCCTTACTCGTGCTGTGCAGTAAACATGTCTGACTCTGTCACCAGACCCAGATCCTGAAGTGCACTGTGAATAGCATATGTGGAGACCCAGACATGAATCCTCAATAGGTGCAGATTGAGAGCAATAACGAGAAGAATTGCAGCTAAGCTGCCCAAGGTCACAGAGCCCAGAACTGGCAAGACCGAAAGAGGCACTCAGCTCTGCTTTCAAAACGTGTGCTCTTTCTATGGCTTCGTCTCAAGAAATCCATGCTGGCCTTGTCAGTCATCGACACTCTAGTCTAAATGAGTGATGCTGGTGCCACCTGCCTAGGGACCCAGTGTCTGGGTGTGCTAAGGAGAGTTTATAGAAATCATACCTGCACCTGCATAAAACGAGCTGCAGAAACAGTCCCTCGTTTCCCCCCTGAAAGCCTTGCTGAGGAACCCCAGGGTGAGGGCTTTGACCTAGATGACTTTAGAAGAAACTTCCTTCCATGCAGACAACAGTGCAGCCTTCCGTCTCCATTCTACTGAGCCACTAGGGTCACCCCCCTAAGGCGAGGGAAGCCTGGGCTCCTTTCTCTTCCCTGGATCCTTCTCATTATCCTTGGAATAAAGTCAGATCCCTAGGCCTGACCCTCACAGCCCACCCTGACTCAGGCGCCAGACCTGAACGCAAAGCCCACACTCCAATCGCCTCATATCTTTCTGTATCCTGCCATAGAGTGCTTCATTCTCCAACCACACTTTTTTTGTTTAATATATTTTATTGATTTTTTTTTTACAGAGAGGAAGGGAGAGAGCTAGAGAGCTAGAAACATTGATGGGAGAGAAACATCGATCAGCTGCCTCCTGCACACCCCCCCAACTGGGGATGTGCCCGCAACCAAGGTACATGCCCCTGACCAGAATCGAACCTGGGACCTTTCAGTCTGCAGGCCGACGCTCTATCCACTAAGCCAAACCGGTTTCGGCTCCAACCACACTTTTTATAGTTAGGAGAGCAGTTCCCCTGTGACTTAGGGTGCAGGACCGAATGGGGCGGTGACAGAGATGCTGACTGAGCTGTCAACACCCAACAACAGCCATGACACTTTCTGGGTGCTTGTCACATGCAGGCTCCGTTCCTGGGCCCCACACAGAGCCTGTATCACAGTGCCCAGAGCCCCGGCCTGAATCCAGGCGGTTCCCATGTGAGGGTCTCAGCAGCGAGGCTGTGGCGGGTCCACCTGTGTCCCCCAGGCCTCGCTGCTTCCAGGTTGCACCTAGAGATGCAGGCTTCACCCTTGTTCCGAGAGATGCAGGCCTCCAACTGCTCTGCTCCGTAACACACCCTTTCCTGGCTGTCTTCTCTTCCCTGTCTCGCTTCTCCCTCCCTAACAGTGCTCCCAGGATCACAGCCCTGATCCACCATGTGCCTTGGAATCCCGGTCTCAGGGTTTGCTCCTGGGAACCCACACTAAGAGAATGACCTTGGGGATTGACTTAACTTGTTTGAGCCTCAGTTTCTTCATCTATAATATTGGGATATAATGTAGAACCCATATATAGCACGTTTACAGGAACACAGTAAATGACATGCGAGTTAGCTGTTTTTATTAAGGGATGTAACTAACAGCTGCCAGTTACTGAATGCCAAATAATGCACTAGGTCCTCTAGCCCAGGCGTCCTCGGCTTGGGTGTACATCAGAATCACCGGGGCGGGTGGCTACAGGGACTGCGGCCCCTGCCCCAGAGCTCAGGATCCCCCAAGTCTGAGAGAACCCGAGAATCTGCACTTGCAAGAGGCTCCCCGGGGAACCTGAAGCTACAACCCTGGGAAGCCACCTTCCCAGCCACTGCTCTACACGATCACATTTAGTCCCCACAGTAGCCCTGGGGCAGGCATCTCTATCTCCACTTCAGAGGGACCCGGAGAAGGTAAGCAAGTGCCGCCCAACAAGTTTGTGGGCAAGCCAAGGTTCAAGTCAAGGATAGTCTGAACCCAAAGACTGAGCTCAGAGCGACCTGCTCACACACCCTGCCCTGAGCCATGAGGGAGTCCAGCTGCGAGTGAGCAAACTCCAAGGGGCTTCCCATCGCCGGGCGAGCAGGAGGGGAGGGGCAATAGGTGAAGGTTCGGGTCTGCAGTGCCTGCTCCCCAGGCTGCCCCAGGGGCCAGAGAAAGGGGCCTCTGACCCTGTGACCCCGAGCAGGCTCCTGAAAGCTGCTCCCCAATATGCCAGAGGAACCCGGGCTGAGCACCTACCTCGGCTGCTGGCGGCTGGCCTGGGGGCCACGGGGCCCAGGGCGGGCAGCGCCTGGGGGTCACCCATGAAGTGGTGGAACCAGCGGCGCCGCAGCTGGCGTAGCTCTGAGTTGCGGCTCCGGAGCCAGTGGGGCCCGGGCCGGGGCCGGGCCAGGGGGCTCTGCAGCACGTCCATGCCGAGCAGCAGCTCCGGGCTGACGCGGGGGTCCTGCAGGGCTCTGCTGTCCAGCAGGCCCACGCCCAGCGCCACGGCGGCCACGGGCAGGGCCTGCAGGGAGCCCGGCGCCCGGGGCCCCTGTGGCAGGGCCACGCGGGCCCGCTGCAGCAGCAGCAGGCTGCCGGTCATCAGGTAGGCGGCCGTGAGGAAGAACAGCAGGAACTGTGTTCTGCGGAGAAACTTCTGGAGTCGGAAGAAAGGTTTGGCCATGCCCCTGGGAGGCAGGGCTCCCGGCTGGAGCCTGGGCACGGCTCCTAGTGCCCGGGCGGGAGGGAGGCCGGGGCCTCCGGAGGCATCATCTCCACATCCTGGAGCAGCCTGTGCTCTCGGGGGGCTACTGCTCCCCCTGCCCCGCTTCCGGCGGGTGCTCAGGTGGCACCATCACTCCTCTCGGGCCACTGCACCCTGCGGCTGCAGCTTCTGGCTGAGGGTCATGACCTTCGCCATTCCTGAGCTCTGCCCACCTTCACCTCTTGGCTCAGAAAAACCTGAAAAGGCAGAGAAAAACCACATCGGTGAAACAGGAGGGGCCTCCACTCCCACCACTCCAGGCCCGGAGCCCCTCACGGTTGGCTCCGTTTCCCAAAGAGAGCACTGGACAGAGATCGGGGTTCAAGTCTCAGCTCTGCCACCAGCCAGCTGTGTGCCATCGGGCAAGTGACTTCACTTCCCAGGCCTCAGCTTCCTCGCCTAAGACATGGGACCACGCTGTCCCCGGGGCCGTGGTGGGGATCCAGTAAGGGCAGCGACAGGGCAGAGGGAGAGCAGCAGCTCTGTCCTGAGTCCTTCCTGAGCGTTAGGCACTCAGCTCAACGCCTTACGAATTACCTCATTTCACCTTCCCACCAATCCAGTGCGGTGGATCCTGTAATATCCCCAATTCCAGAGGAAGAAACCATGGCCAAAGGGGTCCAAGAAGCCTTCCCCAAGTTGCACAGCGCCAGGGTTTGGGGTACAGCTGGTCTGTCCTCAGAGTCTGTGCTCTGAACCACACCGATAGCCCAGCACATACAAGCGCACCCAACCTCAAGGCATGAGTATACAGCAGGTGCTCAACACGAGCATGCAAAACTCCCAGGGGCGCACCAGGATGGCAGGCAGGGCTTTGGAAATTTCTTTGCAGAGGCTGGTCAGCTTTAACACAGGAATGGGCATGGGGTAAAGGGGCAGGGGGGGAGAGGGGGCGTAGACAGAATGTGCAGTCTTCCAGGGCTTCCTGAAGGCTACGGGCCAAAGGAACAGGACAGCCCGGGGCCCCCACCTGCGATCGGGGGCTGGGGCACCTGATGGAGAGAAGGCAGAAGGGCTCTCAGGGCAGCCTCCCGGGGCCCCTCCACGCCCCAGCATCAGCTCTCCCGCTGGGCTGTGGGTCCCGCTGGAGGGCCTCTGGGGTGTGCTGTGAGGGGTGGCAGGGGCAGCGGGCTCTGCAGCTGAGGGAGGAAGGCCCTCACACAAGGACCGGCTTGTCCCGAGAAGAAAGGCTCCGAGGAGCGTGACTAAGCCGCTGGCGGTAACTAACACGGGCCGGGACTCCCGCCAGGCTAGCGGCCCCTCAATGGCTGCTCTGTGCGCCGGGAACAGGCGGCCGGGTGTGAGAGGAAAGACAATGTTTGGGCTCTGTGGCCTGGCATTCCAGGCGAAGATCCGGAGGAGCCGGGCCTGCTTGACCCTTTCTGATTGAACGCTGACCTCTGCCAGTTCTGAGGCCTCTGGGGAGGGCAGGGGTCTGGGAGGGCGGGGGTCTGGGAGGGCGGGGGTCTGGGAGGGCAGGGGTCTGGGAGGGCGGGGGTCTGGGAGGGCAGGGGTCTGGGAGGGCAGGGGTCTGGGAGGGTCTGTGAGGGCGGGGATCTGGGAGGGCAAGGGTGTGGGAGGGCAGGAGTCTGGGAGGGCAGGGGTCTGGGAGGGCAGAAATCTGGGAGGGCAGGAGTCTGGGAGGGCAGGAGTCTGGGAGGGCAGGTATCTGGGAGGGCAGGGGTCTGGGAGGGCAGGTATCTGGGAGGGCAGGGGTCTGGGAGGACAGGGGTCTGGTAGGGCAGGTGTCTGGGAGGGCAGGTGTCTGGGAGGGCAGGGGTCTGGGAGGGTAGGGGTCTGGGAGGGCAGGGGTCTGGGAGGGCAGGAGTCTGGGAGGGCAGGGGTCTGGAGTCCAGGCTGATGGGAGTGGCAGGCGAGGTAGCCAGCAAGTGAAGGTGGAATTAAACTCTGAGTCGGGAAGCCATGCAGACCTTTATTTTCCCTCTAAGCTGGTGTGTGCCAGGCCCACCCCAGCCGGCCTCGTCAGATTTGTAAAACCACAGAGAAAATCCCGAGAAATCCTGGCTGATCTCCCATCTCCAGCTCCGATCCACCTCCATGGGGCTGCCGGGGCGATCCTCCTAACACGCAAATCTGATCACAGCACTCCCCGCTTAACACCCCTTTCAATAGCTCTCCGTGGCTTTTGGGATAAACTCCGAGCTCCTTAGCACAACATAATCCGGCCCACAGCTCATCCTGCCAGGCCCTTTCCTTTGGCTTCGCCATCATGAATTCAGGCATATGTGGGCATTCCCCACCCCTGGCCCAGGTGCCACTTCCTCCGAGAAGCTTTCCTCCACCACCGCCTACCCCCTGGGAAAGGTTCCTCAGCCTCCCACAGCCCACAGCTGGCCCCTCCCCCAGCACTCACGTCCTGGGACGATTTTAATTGTCCAGCTACTTGTCAATCATCCTGGCAGGACTGTGATTGCCTCAAGGCTAGAGGTCCTACCCTTTTCGTTTTGGTAACTGGGGCCCCCAGCAGGATGCCTGGCAGTGCAGATGCTCAGCCATCTTTGGTTCTGAATACATTTTTAAGTGAACGACGAGGTAAACTGACAGGCGGATCCCGGTATGAGACACCGTCTCCGTAGCTGTGGGAGCCTGGCCTGCAAAGCAGAGGTCACGGTGCCTGAGCCCACCTCACGGAGGCAGCTTAGCACAGGGCGGTCTTCCAGACCCCAGAAGCCGACGAGGTGCCTGGGGTGTGTGCTCTCCTCTCTCTGCTGTAAGTCCATGAAGAGGCGTTTCCAGCTCTGCTCACAAAGGACCTCTGGTTACAAGATCAGAATTCTACCTGCAGAAATAATTCTGTAAGAGGAAGCTAGCAGGGGAGAAGGAAGGACTCCCGCTATGGAAAGAAAGGTCCCGAGAAGGCAGAGCAGACACGTGGGCAGCAGGTTAACAGTCCGGAACCCGGAAGATGAGGTGTGGCTCCCGTACACATGTCACGTACAGGCTGTGAACACGAGTCGGGTGGTGACACTGGGTGGGCGTTGTCAGGGCTACAACCAGGATCCTACTGATCACACCCAAGTTCCCCCAGGCCTTCCAAAGTCCTCTCTGGAGCGTCCCCCGCCCCAGGGGCTGCCCCTGGTCTGAGGAGGGGTCACTGGGCATGCAGGCAGGGGTCGGGCCGAAGCTCAATGACCCAGGCCTGCTATAAAGCCGGCTGCCAGTCCAAACCCTTAAAGCCGCAAAGCAATTCCCGCCCGGAACACCTAGCATGGGGGGCCTGCATGCCCAAAGTATTCGGAACTTGCCCCTCTGCCCTGTACTTCTGCTATACTTTCCTACCACATTACACTTGCCAATCACCCCCACTCTCTGCCATGCCCATCCCTCCTTCTGGCTGGCAGCTCCTTTAGGGCACAGATCACGTGGGATTTATCACCACATCCCTGGGTCCCAGGCCTCAGCCCGCAAGGCAGGGTTGGCCACTGTTCATTGAGTGGCTGAACCGGGCTGGGGGGAGGGAGTATCTGCGCAGGTGCTCACAGCCAGCCTCGAGATCAGTCGTACAGCAGCACTCGCCAGTTCACCAACCCCTGGGGACATCTGGCCACTGCCTGAGGCCCTGGCCCGGGAGCCCACCAGCTGTGCACACCCCCCCCCCCCCCCCCCCGCCCAAAGCTGGGGGGCTGTCCAGGAAAGCAAACCCAGCTCGGGCAAATCACTGCCAGGCCGGAGCCTCAGGTTCTTCATCTGTTAAATGGGTGTAAATTAGCATTGTTGTGGGGACAATCGGGGAGTAAAACTTCTGCTACCCACCAACCACAGCCAACACCGGTTATGAATTCAAAGAGGCAAACGAGGAAATGCCGGAGGGAAGGCCAGGGGGCGGCTATGCCATGGGTGAAATCAGTCACTTCGCCTCTTCTTAGCCCCTCATGCACTGGGGTGGGCCTAAATCCCATTCCTGCGTGAAGCTGGTCCCACGCTAAGATGGCTGCTAGCAGTCGCCTTATTTTTCCACACCACCATTTATTAAGCTCTCGTGATGTTAATACGCAGGCTAGGCTGCATCGGAGGCTTCACCTGCGCCATGTCATTCACTCACTACTTCCCACCCGAGGTAGATGCCCTGGTTACCCCATTGAGAGCCGAAGTCTCTGAAGGTCAGCTGGTGAAGTCCATTGCCCGAGGCCAGACACACCAGGGCTGGCACTCAGTCCCAGGCCGCCAGCTTCAGAGCCTGCCCCGTGCCCACTAAGCTTCCTGCTCTCCCCACACCAGCTCCGGCTTCACCCAGGGCAAGATTTATTCTGGAAAGAGCTAGGTGTGCCCCCGTCAGCACCTTTCTGAATGCATGCCAGGTCAGAGCTCCTGGAGAAAGTCCTGCACACGGTGTCCCCAAGCCAGATCTGGACACTGCCATGTGGGTCAGTGTGCCAGGCCTGCTGGGCCCTTCCCTTCCGAAGTCTGGGTCATTTCCCCTAAGCCATGCTTCCCATGTGGCACCTCTCAGGGAGGCAGCAGGAGCCCAGCTCAGGTGGGCACTCAGACAACCAGAGCCCTCTTCTCTCCCTCTGTTGTTATCTGGGTCCCAGGTAGATGCTGAACAGGAAGGAGGTCAGGAGGTGGGGAGATTGGGCAGATGGCACCCCTCATCTAGGTTTGGGGCCTGAGAAACTGAGGGGGCGGGAGGGGTAGCAGCAGCAGGGAGAGAAGGGGAGGGGAAGGGAAGGGAGGGGAGAGGTGTAAAGACAAAAGAACAGGGCCCAGCATGCTGCTCTCCATCCAGGTAGATGGGCACTCTGAGCCCAGCCTCTGTGACTGGCAGCCAGGGATGGGGGGGGGGGGGGGAGAGTCTCAGCAAAGCCACACCAGGGAGCCTCCAGTGGGGCTCAGTGCTCTGAGCTGCCCTTCCCTGGCTTCTCCGACCTCACCAAAGCCTGCCTCTGCCCTGCTCTGGC